AACCATTGTTTTTTTTAACCGTCTGTCGTAATAATGCTGTTCTATGTTTCTTAGCTGTGTTCTATGAATAAATTTTGAGCAATTAAGTCTTGATTTCAAATACATATCTACATATAAATCAAATCAAATCATTGTGATGGATAATAAAATTCAATCCTTTTAAAATTCTACACAGTTGTATATTAAAATAAGGGACATTTGACATGTGTCGCATACCTTATTCCATCTTTAGTTTATAGAAAGATTATTATTTATATTTCCCTGACTCCTAGTAAATAGTTGTTGTTGAGATAAACCTAATTCGAAATAAATAGAAATAGTTATCTAATGCAAAACTAAACCTGAGAATTTAAAAAATATCATACGATCATATTACGAATTGACAAACGGACTATTCGAAAGTTCTGACACTAAGTCTATCAATTCTTTTTCGTTTCAAACTCTAGGTTTCTAAAAATTCATAAAATCTATTTCTCTTAATGCAGTGTGGACATAATCAACATTTGATGAATACATTTACAACAATGTCCACTTTGATCTTTAATAGAAAATGCTATGAAGCTGACACTATAGAGCGCTGACATGTCAGATGTAATATTCCATGCACTGTTTACGACTCATCACGCTTCAAAAATTAAGTTATTTTCTGAAATGTATTTTAGACGATCAAGGCTAATTTTAAGATGAACTATCGCATCTTAGATGAATATTTCCACTTTTAAAACTTGCCTCGTTAACTATCTCTCTCATTGAGAGAAAACCCTGCATCAGAAACAAAATTTTCATGGAAAAGCATGAATGAGACCGTTCTACTCATCCAAAGGAACAGTTTACTCGACTAACATAGTCTTTTCAGGAAACATGCATCGCTATGAACTTTATGTCCCGAAAAAAATATAAAACCTGTACCTTATCCAATTTAACAATTATAAACCATCAAAATAACTTATCTTTTAGATTTTCCTCCATTTTCGATGCAGTATAAAAAGTTAAAGACTTAATGATTTGAAATGAGCATTTTATTCCTAATAATGCTCATTCAGATTATATCCACCAAAAACTTCAGCTTAAACGTTCGAGACATCCTAAAGATATTGCTTCATAATAACCCTTCTTAAATCAAATGCTCTGCCTTTGGACTTTTGTAAAATACCCATTACTTTGAAAAATTAAATATTTCTAGAAATGGCCTGCGTGAAAGTTCATAAAATTCTTCTCTTTACAATATAGGTTGAATTGAACACAGTATAAAGATCTCGATGGAGCAGACGAGATCATGACTTATGTTAACATCTGGCATCTATGTGCTTCGTTCACTTGAGATTATCCTATTCGTGAAATTTTGTGAGACAATCAAATGACTTAAATTTGTTCTGCTTCGATTAGTCTTCGTTGAGTTTTTTAACAAAAATAATATTTTGTTTTTCCTATCGTTTACTCTGCTATGTGCGCCACGATTTATATAAAACAAAAATAAATTCAAAAAAAGTGAATTAGGTTCGTTTTACTGATAGTTTCAGTTTTCATTTGTTCCAGACCTGGGTTGAAATAATTGATTCAATCATTAAGGTAAATATAAATATAAAAAAAAGAATTTTAAAAACTAATTTAAAATAATTAATTGATTTCGACAGATAGCAATAGAAGATTTCATTTTATTGTAAAATCAAATATGAAACAAGATATGTCGAAACTAACATGTAAATAAGTCTAATAACAATACTTTATGAAAATTATTTTATGTTGTTTTTAGCATGAATAAAACAATTCTCATGTTTTCTTTCTATTTCAATGATAAATAAATCTTTTCAAAGAAACTTATTCGATTTGAATAAATTATAACAAATGAAAATTAATTTCGTTCAATTTAGAACAAACTCAATATTTTAAACGAACTAATTAATCTTTTTAATTTAACGTAAAAGTTAGTTATTTTAATTCATTATAAGATGGAGAAACAATGGTATTGACATATTTTATTTTATTTTAGTGAAAAAAAATAATTTGATTAAAGTCTATTGCATTTAATATAAAATTCTATAAATGTAACTTCAATAAAATCTTTATTTTTTTAATGATGTTCTTTTTTAATGATGTTCTTTTTTAATGATGTTCTTTTTGTGTACTCAAAAAGTGAGTACACTACTAAAATCGGTCTGTGTGTCCGTCCGGCCGTCCGTCCGTCCGGCCGTTTACACGATAACTTTCGAAAGCAGAGTCCAATCGTGATGAAATTTTCTACATAGTTCAGTCTTAACAATGTCTCGGTCGAGTTCGAAGATGAGCAGGATCCGTCAAGAAATGGCTGAGTTATCGAAAAAATTGAGATTTTTGANGATGAGGTAGCTATCGCAGAGTCAGCTACCGAAGAAGATAGCGAATCATTTTTCCAGACGAATGAGCCAATAAATACTGACATTCCCTTTTTTCCAAAATACTTCTTTTGGTTTTCTCTGTATTCCTGTGGTAAAATTTTCTGGCCCCAATCGAAGGTACTAAAGGCTTCGTCAGTTCCCATTTCTGAGATTATCCTTTTCTTTTCGAAGTCTTGTTGTGATGCACGAAGATTGTGACGTAGCCACTCTATTATGTGTTCTGAAGCGTTTTCAAAGTCATATTTGGCTTCTGCTTGCAGATCTGGATTGTTGATTTTTTCGATTCTCTGCTTTATCTCGTCAAGTGTTCTGATAATGTTGAAACAATCCGAACATATAGTGTGATGCTCGCGAGTGCATTCTGAATAATGCTGCACACAGTTCGGATCACTTAAACCAAAAGTACAACAATGCGTAATACAACTAGAATTGGCTGAGCAATGACTAATATGTCTCGACTTTTGATAGTTCTCTGCCATTTCCATTTGTTTCAGTAAACGCTTGCGATCGACTTGAGGAATAGCCGTTTCTTGAACCATGACTATAACAAACAACACGAATAAGTTGTTCTTATTTCATAAAGTTTTGTGCCAGCATGGTTCATGTCTAGTCTTCTTGGAGCGCAGCAAGTTGAAAGTAGGTAAGATATTTTTATCACAGTACACCTGATCACCATCATATGACTGCCGATCATAATTTTATTTCTCATCGAAAGGTAACAAGAACTATAAGGAATTCATTTCATAGCTAGATAGTTCTCTGAGCTAAACCTGTTAGATGTAAATCGCATGATTTGTTTAATAATTATAATATCTCAGAAAGTACACGTGAGAACTCTTCAAAAGATAGGAGAGTAGCAAGAAACCTACAGCTCTGTATATTCAAATTCTCGAGAGTTCTTACAAACAGTATTCAGTGAGGTTGTCAACGTTTTATCCAACATGAACGACTTGTCTGAAATTTGCAGATTATGAACATTTATTTTTAACATACTTGAAAGTGAACGCCATGATTCAACACCTTCAACCACGAATTCATCTAGTCCTGATACAGCTTTTTGTTGAGATGGTTTAATACTGTTCAGTATATCGTATAATTTGCTTCTGCATAAACCTTCAAAGTCGCTCTCATCACAATACCTCTTATAGTTAAGAACTACGTGTGCTTTTTGCAACTGAAGTATTTGCTTTGGGAGCTCACACTTATCACCGTTATCCATTCGTAGAACAGTCAACCCATAAGTTCCTGTTTAGTAAAAATTGAAATGATAGTAAAGAAGCATTCAGCAAAACAAAGAAGAATTCTGATAGTCACCCGAAACGAGAGTGTTACTTTCGACCAGCCAATTAACAAAATGTTTAATCTTTTCAGGATCTGTGCGTTGTCTAATGAGCTTTTCAGTGTCTTCTTTCAATAGATACTGCTGTGCATCGTACATCTTATGAGCCTCTTTAATGGCATGTCGTGATACGCCAAAGATGTCCATTATTTTTTGATATTCCCAGGAACGAGGAAGCATAGACAGAAGTCGAACTTGCTCCATAAACGGCATTCCATGTTCGATATAGGAATCATATATTCGCTTAAGATTTTGAATCATTTCATTGTTGATTGTTTCATGAAGCAAGTGAGTGTCTGCCATGTCTGAATCAGGTTCATCTAGCTGTATGATCGCTTCACCTTGCCCGGGAACCATGGCATGTGCCATTTTCTCTGAAAGTTACACACATAACCACTTCCAAAGAAACTTTTTAAACTTTTACATACTCTCGATGACTTTGATTGCGTTGCTTAGTTTTGATTTCATTCGACGAAGACTACTCTTTGAGTATAAGTCTAATCTTTTTCTTGCTTGGGACCGAATTGGACTTAAATTCGCTTCAGCAAGAATTCGATTCATGGATTGACGTGAGTCATCAATAGTGAATTCGGATCCACGTGTGAAATTCGAGCAAGGTGTGAGTGGACCTAATGACTCAGACTCGGAAATCGTCAATATCTCTTTTCTGTGTTTTGAGCATATTCTAAATAAGAACTATTTAATATAAGTATTTCACACAATAAATATTATTACTTTCCCCCCACAGGAAACCCTTCAATTTTAGAACAGATGCTAATATTAGCGCGGCGACAGTCACGAGCAGAAGAGCTCGCTTTTGTTCCATGATCAGGATGGTGACATGTAGATTTCACATCATTCCAATCTATCCCATACGAACTTCGATGTTTCGGACAAATCGACATCGAGTCATCAATGAAGATATCTTTTGATCGTAATCTATTTGCGATCAAGTTTCTTTCGTTTATGATAAAATCATCATCTTCCATTCTCGGAATAACGTTTTTACGCTTTAGATATGTCCGTACATCAATATCTCTAAGTGCAGAAAATCTAACACAAGTATACGGCCAATCCCTGTGATCTGTGAATAAACAAATATATATTGGCGTAAAGTGCTAAAAATCCTTACAATGCGTCGTGCTGCCACAGACAGCCACGCTCGAATTACCCCACAGGCAACAAGTATCAAATTTGAGTTCGATCACTTGAACACGATAGAAAAATCCATTCTCGTCTGCTTGAACTTCATCCTGATTTATTAAACCTAAAATAATCAGAAATCTCTAAACATATTGCATGTCCCAATGAAACAGACTGGCAGATAATTCTTTGACTTTTTTTTCGTTTTCAGACCCATCTTCATGATCAGGAAACAGTCTAATGTACTCTGGAAACATGTTTTCAGGACCAGTTGAATTATTTGCATGTAGATACTCATCGAATACAATATGCCCGTCCTGAATTTCGCCTTTAGTAAGACACACTGGAATACTACACGAAATATCCATTAATGATATATTTGATGAAAGCGTAACTTCCGGAGCTCGTTCTTGAATATTATTGATTAAAGATCTGTTGCTTGAACTCAGCGCAATATCACTTTGAGTAGTTGTTGACTCGTAGAATTCACTACCAACTAATGACATATTGCTACTTGATTGATATTGAAATGAGTTTTGATAATAACCTTCTAATGTACTAGACATGGAATAAGCAGTAGATAAACTAAATAACGAAGAATTCGACAGAGTATTGTTCGTGTCCAATGTATATGTGTTCTTCTCGATTGTGGAAGAGGACTCAGTTTCAATGAATATTCTAGACGCACCATCGCTGTACATGCTAGACGCATCGGGATGTGGGTGTGGGTGTGTGTGGGTGTGGCTGTGGGTGTGGGTGTGGCTGTGGGTGTGGGTGTAGGTGTGGGTGTGGGTATGGGTGTGGGTGTGGGTGTGGGTGTGGGTGTGGGTGTGGGTGTGGGGAGCGGGTGTGGGTGTGGGTGTGGGGAGCGGGTGTGGGTGTGGGCGTTAATGGAAGAGAAGAACCACACTCACGCCCACACCCACACCCACACCCGACTCGCTCTCTAAAAAATATTATTGCTTCTTAACATTATATACGGATGGTAATATTTGCGCAAATACTACAGAAAATATATCATTATATACGCAGTAGTCGAGTCTTTATATATACATGTAACAGTATTTATTCATACAGAGACGAAGAGAGAAAAATATTTCATACCTTCAGGCTATTTACTTTTTATGAGTAATCCGAAACATTTTCTACCGACTCAGAGTGCATCGCTAAAGCTTCTTATTAACATTATGTATTTACAAGCATTTGACCATGAGTTAAGTATAGGGTTGGATGACGATTGAAGCAACCCCTAATACATAATATGTATTAACAAAAAAGATATTCAGCAAATCTTAAATTGAATTCATCGCACCTAAATACACTCATTCATTCACAGGCAAAAACTACAAGTTGTTAGATGAGACTGCAGCTGAGTCTGTGCGACGACTGAGCGCACGCGAAATGTGCCTCGGTGTCGGTGTGGCACTGAATTAAGAGAACATACACATCCACACGCGTCCCCACATCCTCCCTCCCAACCATACCGACCCAGACCCACCCATACCCACCACCCTAGGTTGGCAAGTATAAACCGAGAGTTATGGAGTCAGTATATGCCTAATAGTTCTCGTTGAACGTCGAAAACAATGGATACAGGTCTATTTATGGCATTAAAAGGTGTTTCTGGTATAATAAAAAATGGATTCGTATGAATCCATTTTTGTATGGAACCAATAAATGTTTTCGAGTTTGTATCCAGGTGAAGAACCCTTTTGTGGTTTCGTATGGTATCTTTTTTTATATTACAAGGGATATACTGCAAACGAAACGAGTCACAAAATGTACTGATCATCTTAATGAGATTTTTTATATATTGGCGATATATATCTGAGAAAGCAATATGTCAACTCGAAGATACATTGATAATTGAAATAAATATAGGCAGCGCTACATCATGAAGCTGATCGAGAGTCCAGTATCAAGGAAATCAGTGACTTCGCTGTTTATGAAAGCAATAACTATGAAGAAGAATGAATAAAGCAATTGTTAATTATTAGTAATACATGAATCGAAAACTAATTTAAATCCTACAATCAATGCAATTTTAGTGCATTTTAAAACGAGAACCATATTATCTCATCTAGATAGGAGAGTAATACTCGCAGCTGTTAAGTACTTGTCCTTCATTGTCACCACCACAAGTAAATACACCATTAGATACTACGAAAGCGAAATTTCCTTCACGTGCATAATTGAGTGAGCTTGTATTCGACCATTGTCTAGTCGATGGATTATAGAGTTGAGTGATCGCAGAACAAGTCCCATTGGCATCTCCACCAGATGTTAGAAGAACATAACCATTAGAAAGAAGAGTAAGGGAGCTGTAGACACCACCAAACGCTGTATTGGCAATTTTAACAAATGAATCATTTGATGGAAAGTATAATTCAGCTGAAGCTAGTGACACTGGATCACTGTAACCACCAGCAATAAGTACACTACTGTCATTAAGACGAACAGCTGCATGATAGACCCTTCCTGTTGTCATGTTCCTAGCTGTCTTTCTCCAAGTATTATTTACTGGATCATAAATCTCAGCTGTGTTTAAACCGATCATTGGAGTTGTCCATCCACCAGTGACCAGTACACGACCATCAGCGAGTAATGTTACTGTCGGAGCTCGACGATTGCTTTGTGTCATAGGTCCTGTGGGTATCCATAGAGAAGAGTTATTTGCATCATAATAGTATGCTTTTGATACATTGCCACCAACAATTAATACACGCCCATTTTTTAAAAGTGTCGCTCTGTGTCGTCCAAATTTTTCAGGCATAGGACGTGAAGTGCTCGTCCATGTTTCTGAAGTGATATTATATATTTCGGCAGTATTTAGTGGAACGCCAGTATTATTCACAAAAATGTGTCCACCAGTAACCAATACTTGTTTTCCATTACTAAGTAAAGTCATTGTGTGATAGTAACGCTGTTGACGCATCGGATTCGTTGCTATCCATTGGCCAGTCGATGGTGAATAGAGTTCAGCCGCGGAAGTAACATTATTACTTAGAGAATCATTGAGACCTCCACTTGTCAATATACGCCCATCATTCAATTGCACAGCAGGAAAAATGGTTCGATTCGATAACATCTTAGTAGCAACTCTCCACATTCGTGCCATACTCGTGGTGGCTGTCGGTTAAATTATAATAGTAAAAATAAAATAAGCAAAATAAGTGAGTTAAAAATATTTTTACCATTGTCATGCGTAATATATATTCAAGCACTCAAGATCGTTAAAAAAAAGTGTTTGAAATTCGGAGCATATTAAAAAGTGAAAAATCAAGCCGAAATATGCATTTGTCCTAGTTTTTTTTGGACTATCTTTACTTCGCTAAATACGACCTCATTAGTTTACAGTTTTTGAACAAGATTAAATGCGTTGCATGTAATTGATTTGCTTTCTTAGACATAATTAAATGTTCAAACTTTTTCAAGCTGAAAAATACATTTTTTAATATATCTGTTGTAAATAACAACTTAATTTGAATTTTTGTTCATTTTTTCTATTTGTTTTCGACTGAGTTTAGTGTGAACGGACGAAACCCATACACGGATGACATTGCTTCATTTTTCTCAATAGTGCAAATAACGAATAAATAATTGACATATTTTCTT